TATTATAATAATTATGTATGGTGCCAAGTGGGTACTAGCCTTATGGTGGAATCACTTTATAAGTTATATAAAGGTCAAACCACTATACTGTACACCTAAATCTAATATAATATTGAATATCAATTGTAATTAAAAATAAAATAAATTTAAACTTTTTTAAATTATAAAAACAGAAAATAACAAGTGTTGGTAAAGATATGGAGAAATAGGAATCCTCATGCACTGCTGATGGGAATATAAAATGGAAAGAAAAAAGAGGGAGAATCTTGGAGAAGCTGAGAAGGATCCAAGAGAGGGCAGAGTATAGTGTGTGAGCAAGGGGGACTCAAGAGATAGTGGGTGTGGAGGGCATAGAGACCCAAAGAGAAGGCATGGTTATGTGGAATGGTTGAAGAGGGACTCAAGAGGGCAGGAGATTAGAGAATAGGGTTATGGGGAGAGGAGAGAAGACATGAAAACATTAGAGAGAACTAGTCAATAAAACAAAGGAAGATGAGCAATCAAATAGAAAAGATAGCGTCAAAGGCAAACCCATCTTTAAAAGAATCCTCCCCCAAATATTGGAGAAGTAGAGCAAAGAAAGAAACAAACAATTGGAGAAATCCGAAGCACAGTATTCACAAAAAACGTTATATAAGCACACACTGCTTTTAAAACATTGCAAGATATTGGTATGGGCAATGTTTTTTTGGCGTATGACTCCAAATGCAAAAGCAATAAAATAAAAAAAATAATAAGTGAGACTACATCAAACTAAAAAGATTCTGCGAAGCAAAGGAAACTATCAACAAAATGAAAAGACAACCTACAAAGTGGTAGAAAATATCTGCAAACCATATATCCAATAGGAGGTTAATATCCAAAGTACACAAAGAACTCATATAACTCAATAGCAAAGAAACGATCTAATTTAAAAATGGACAGAGGACCTGAATAGACATAAAGAAGATATATGAAAGGCCAAGAGGTACACAAAAAGATGTCCAATATCATTAATCATCAGAGAAATGCAAATCAAAACCACAGTGTGATACCATCTTAGAATGGCTATTATCCAAAAGACAAGAAACAACAACTGTTGGCGAGGATGTAGAGAAAAGGGAACCCTTGTGCACCATAGGTAAGAATGCAAATAGGTAGAGCCACTATGTAAACATTATGGAGGTTCCTTTAAAAAATTAAAAATATAACTACCATATGATCCAGTAATCCCACTTCTGGGTATTTATCTATGAGAAACGAAATCACTAACCCAAAGAAATATCTATACTCCATATTTACTGCAGCATTATTCACAATTGCCAAGACATGGAAACAATCTAAGTGTCAATCAACAGAAGAAAGGATAAAGAAAATGTGGCACATATATATAGTGCAATATTATTCAGGCTTGAAAATGAAGGAAAATCTGTCATTTATAACAACATGGATGGATCTTGAGGACATTATGAAGTGAAATTAAGTCAGAGAAAGACAAATAACTGTATGTTCTCCTTTACATATGGAATCTAAAATAGCCTAATTCACAGATACAGAGTAGCATGGTGGCTGCCAGGGGCTGGATGAATAGAGAGATATTGGTCAAAGAGTACAAACATCTCTTTGGGGTGAGAATTAAATGAGATAAATTTAGTATAGTATCTGGCACATAATAAACCATTATTAAACAATAACTATTATTAATAATATATCATTAATAGCTGACTTTCTAATAATATAATTATATAATATTAAAATAATATAAGGTAAATAAGAAAAGTTTGGGAGAATCTAATGTACTATAGTTAACAATACTGTATTATATATTTGAAAGTTGCTAAGTGAGCAGACCTTAAATGTTCACACCACAAAAAAAAGATGTGATGAATAGGTTAACTAACTTTATTGTGGTAATCATTTCACAATGCGTACATGTATTAAATCATTGCAAAGTACACCTTAAACTTACACGATGTTATGTCAACCTATCTCAATAGAGCTGGAAAAAATTAAGTGGCAGAGTTATATGATGGAATGCTTCACACCAAATATATAGCTAACTTTATTACATTTATCAATAAGGATAAATCTCAAAAACAATATTGACTCAAAAAAGTTTCAGGAGAGTTAGTATGGTATACCATTTATGTAAATGTTAAAGAACATACAAAATGATATATTATAAACAATTTATGGCTATCTACATTCGAGTGTACTTAAAAACATAGATGGAAAAATATATAACAACTTTAGAAGAACAATTATCTCTGAGACGGGAAGGAAAAGAGATCGGGGAGGGGTAAAAAGAGGTAGCAATAATGTTTTAGTTCTTTAAAAAACAATGTCTAAAGAAAATATGGAAAAATGTTAACAATTTTTAAATCTTTGGTGTAAATGGATGATGGTATATTACAGTTCACTGTACTTTTCTGTTTGAAATATTCTATAATATTAAAAAGAGGGACTAGTTAAGTATATGATAGAAAATAAGATAATATGTGTGCTTTGAAAAGGGAGATGTGCTAATATAGGCCAATTATACCTTTTATTCTCCCAGTCAACTTAATTGGCTCCTTTATAATTTTTTTTTAAATTACAAATGAATACACACTCATAATCTTTGGAAAAGGTATTCATAAAGAAAGCTAATCAGCATGTGTGCTATTATGGCACTTGAATCTGCTATGATTCATATATTTTTAAAGGAAATCGTTTTGAAAATCTTTATCCTTATTAGTTAAAAAAATACATTCAACCTAACTCTCATATGTATAATGAATATCGTGGTTGATCACTGCTGCTCTAGCACATAGAAACCTGGATGGGCAAATCAATTTATCTGGGGATGGGGACAAAAACTCACAGTTCACGTCCACATCCATGGCCTTCCTGTTAGGATTCCTCTTGAGTGTCACAAAAGGTAAAAGTTATATAAATGGTTTTAAATAGCCAAGACTGAAGATAAATCCTGTTGGTGGTTTAGTTAGGCTAACTAAATTATGGCCATCTTACTCTATGAAATATGAGGCTGCTCTTAATGAAAAATATGAAGACCATCAGCAACAGGAAAATTCCTAGTATACTACTAAATTTTAAAAATTGTATAAACAAAAATTAAGATTATTTAAAAATATGGATACATATCGATAATATTGGAGGGGAAGAGAAATATCAGTTATATTTTGGTAGTAGAATTGAAGGAACTTGTTCATCTCTAATTTCTTTAAAGCTGGTTTAATAAATTATTTAAATAATGTTTTAAAACAGTTTATGTATTATAAAATAATTAACTAAACTATATCCCTTTTTCATAGCTATAACCCACAGAAACTTCTAGGTATATTTTTTCTTTTAGCTCTCTCAGGTTTCATTACCTAAAGCTAAACTAGTAGACAAAGGCCAGGAAATCTTTTGCCTCTAACTCTGGAATAGGCAGGCCAGGGAAGCTCTCTTCCTGCTTCAACTTCTGCCCCTAGATCTGACCAGTTTTTAGGCAGAATGGACAAGAATATTAGACTTTAAGCAAGTGAGTTCTATCTCTGGAATGCACTCACTGACAACATGACCCCAGGCAAGTCACTGAACCTCTCTAATCTTTCTGATCCTCAAGCCCTAAGTTTCTGTACTCATGAAATCTTCCAAGGAATTCAAGTGTTCCAAGATTTATCTCTGATCCAGGACCCATCCCCTACTTTCCTACCTCCTCAACCCTGGGGAATAGAGCACTTAGCATTGGATTCCATCTTACCAGGGGCATGCCAAATCTTAAAGAGGTAGTTATATCCTTAAAGATAAAAAGTATTTGTTTCCCAAGAAGAAAACTATTATTTATTGAATACTCATGCATCTGGCACTGTATCAAGCACTTCATATATGCTATATGAACCACCTTCTGGGGTCCCACCATGGACCCACAGAACCAGTTCCTGGAGTGAGCCAAGGAAATCTGAACTTGTAACAAATGTCCTAAGTGATTTCTAAACACACACAAGTTCGAAAATCAAAGGTCTAAGGCCAGCGTTTTTCATACTGTGAATGACAATTCATTAGTGAGCTGTGGTCTACATTTTAAAAATATATATATAATGGAAAGTATAAGAGTATACCGCATGTATTAAGTACCTGCTCTGCAAAAACAGTTATGTTATATATCTGTATGTGTGTACTGTGTCACAGTATTAAATTTATTTCTTACTGTGAGTCACAGCCAAAAGGTCTGAAAAGCATGAGCTAGGAATTATGGACTTAGAATACTGCAAAATGAGGCCAAATAGAAACAACAACAACAACAAAAACAATCAAGGAGACAGCATAGCATATATTACTTAAGCTCCACAAGTATCTAGAAAAATAAAATTTAAGACACTTAAACTCTGATAATCTAAATAATAAGGGGTATTAGGTAATTTGGCAAAAAACAAACAAACAAACAAACAAACAAACAAACAAAAACCAACAATAACTTAACTTTAGCCAGAAACTTAACTATTCTACCTCCATTTTTTGTTCACCGTGGTAATAACAAGTAGAAGAGACAAATTACTCAAGCCTCATTATCCCCTAAGCCAGATGGGATGAAAGTTAGAAAAATACATGATAGCAGAAAGAAGGAAAGCAGTTTGATTAATTTATAATCAAATTCCAAACCCTGGATAACCAACAGTAACCATCCATTAAAACTATTTTTCTCTCCTTGCTTACAACATTCAAATAATGAATGAGGGTCCCACTGTGGAACACAGCTAATCAGTTCCGACTACAGATATTTATTAAGCCCTCTCACATTCCCCCTTTGTTTTCCAAACCGCGGAATCCATGGGAAAGTAGGGTCACACTGTACCTCTAAGTGAAGACACTCAGATTGCCACGCAGTAGCAAGCCCGCGGCGCACCTGCATTTCTCCATTCTAAGGCGGGAAAAGCGGGCACCAGTCCCGCGATGTCCCCGGGAAAGAGAGCGACGCGTAGCTCCAGCCGGTGCCTAGTAGGACCCACGTGGCCAACGAAGGGCTGCGTGCTCCCCTTGTGGCTCCGGACCCAGACTTGCATACAGCAGCGGAAAAGAAGCGCGATCCCATCCTACACACACAAATGCTGAACCAGGACTGAACCACAACACAGGTCTCTGTCGCGGAGCGGGGAGGGGGCGTGGGGAGCGCGTGTTGGGGGACAGCAAAACCTCTCACCCGGGGCTACCAAGCATACCCTTCCGTCCCCGCTGCTCTGCAGTCGTCTGATCTGGAATTCACGTGCGGGAAAAGTGTAATGAAGAGCAAGCCTGCTAATGACCCGGACAAACGAAAACCCCGCAAACCTTACCTTGGTGGCTGCCGCCGCTGCCAATGGCTATCGGGGCCCCAAAGTAAATGGGTAGTGACCAGAAAGACAGCCTGGGACCTACTCGGGCCAGAAAGAAACGGCCTCCACTGTGGACAGGTTACCGCTGGAATGACGCTAACCAGACGGAGGCTTAAATAGTGTGGATCTGGTTAACTGGAAAGGTCAGACATTGACCCCTACTGGCACACGCTTGGATTGGTTGATTCTGGCGTTGTTTCAAAGGAGACTCTTCTATGATTGGCTAGGAAACTCAAGCGGGAACCCGAGGTGGTGGGTGGGAGGGGGGCAAACAATATTGTTACCAAGGCAACAGAGAGTCGCCCAGCTCTCCGCGGTCTACTTTCCAAGCCTAGCCGGCGACCTGAAAACTCACCCAGGTGAGGAACCCAAACCCTAGGAGGGGGAAAGACGAGATCCTCAGATCCCGTAGCTATCAGAGAAAGTAGGGAGAACTCTAGATACTTAAAACTCTGTGAAATACCCCCCAAAAGCCACAAGTTGCCCATGGAATAGACCCTAAATTCTCCTGCCCTAGACACTTTAACAAAACTCAGTCTATCGGGATGTGAATGAGAGATGCGGCAGTTTTACCATACAAGGGATGGATGCTGATAGAATGTCAGAAGGCCAAAATGAACAAGTGAAGGCTTCCCAATACCTTTCACTCCGATCTGACACACACTTATGGTTTAATACTAATTTGAGATTGAAAACTACGTTCTCTTATAGGTAGATCCGGATGCTCCAAGTTGGAGCAACTACTGTACCTTCTGTTTTACATGTATAGGCATAATTTATTCTAGACCAGCATGCCTTGGTTGGGATATATTTTTTAGGGGGGTATAATGCTGTTCAGACTGAAAAAAATTAGCCTGTGCCACTTGCTACGTGGACAATGTCCTGTGTGCGGGAACGTGAACGCTGTTGCCTGAGGGCTCCAACAGACCTTGATCAGATCCCTTGAGAAGTGAGAAGCAGTCAGACCACACTTAGTGGACTGGAGCATGGCGTACAGACTACTTGTACCTACCAAACCTGCTACTCACCAAGGGGCGATTGGGAGAGTAAGCATTATATGTCGTTGGACTGTACCTGTCATCAGGTGAGAAACTGTCAAAATAAAATTCGAGTGAGAGGAGAGAACTGAGTTTGACCAGACAGTTAGGGGACACTTCTAAGAGTTTCCTGTAGTGACAGGGATTCACAATAGAGAATATTTCCTAAAGAAATGAAGAAAACAGGCTTGTTGACTTGGAGAAAATTTTCAATGTGCTGAAGGAAAATTTGTTATCTCAACTCCTTTAGATAGAGTTAGAAATGAGAATGAGACAGAAACAGGAAAAAATTATTGACAAGTGTGTTCGGCTAAAATAAAGAATAATAGAGGATATGTTAAATTAAAAGACGCTCACTTCTTGACCTTTAGATTCATGAAAAATTCCAGGTACTTTCAAAAATCATTGTCTACTTAATATATTTTAAATTTGTAACAAAATCTATGTTAAGTATCAGTAGTTTTTTATGACTTGGTACTTCTGATGGCAGTGAAAGAGACCTTAAAAAAAAAAAGAAAGCATTCTTGATATTGCAAAAACAAAGTTAAAATAAATTATTTTTAATAGGCAGGGAATCACTGATGTTTATAATGGTCAAAAATGAAAAAAAAATTAGCCAGTATATTATAATTTAATTTAGAGAGGCAGAGATGATGTTTACTTTTGTGTTTTCAGAAGAACTTTAATATAGGTATTGCTAAATAAGGCATTGTGTAAATAAAATTGCAGAATAAATGCCAAATTTATTTAAGAGAGTAAATGGATTTTGAATACTTTGAAATCATTTAGCTATAAACAATATTATACAAAGGGATATGGGTTTACTATTAAACACATTCCTGAAGGATACAATTTGGTGATTCTTTATTATTCTGATTTTGATTACTATATATACTTGAGTTAATAAAACATTATTACTTTTTGAGTAGTCTAAAATTCAGTTTTCATTAATTTAACCTAGACTTCTCTGAATTTAGTTTAAATTTATTCTTGGCCTATTTAAGTGGCAATGCCAGATTCAAACATAAGCACTGTGGCTCTAGAATCTTTTTTTTTTTTTTTTATCACTACACTATATTGAAAAAGGAAGAATACATGCCAAGGTACAAAGGCAGATGAATATAGAGTATGTTTAATGAGCAATTCAGTTTTTAACAGAATGCAGATTACATGTAGGAAAATAATAGGAAAGGGCAGAAAATTAGGTTGGAGTTATATCCTAAAGGATCTTAATTACCAGGCTCAAGATGAACTTTATGTATATCAAATTTACAAATCATAGATAGTCCTAAAAATAAATAACACTGCATAGTTTATAAAAGGCATCTTGTTCTAATTTTTCCAATGTTATCTTTGTTAAATGAACTTTAATATACTTTAAATAAATTTTAGTAATTTATTCTTAATTCATTAGATTTCTAAAAAAGCTAGTAGAATCTTCATTTCTATTGGACTTAGAATATTTTTCCAAAAATTCACATTATTGTTTTTCCTTTTTGAATCTTTGGACTATTTAGTTATTTACAAAGTATTCGTGATTCTTTTGTTTCTCAAAATACAATATCAACAAACTTGTCATGATTTATTATTTTGTGTTTACAGATTATTACAAGAGTTGATTTGATAAAATTATTTTTGCTAAAGTGTCAATTTTATTATGATATTTCTACTCCAATTTCGCTAAGTATGCATCTATACCATTTTATGCCAGTGTAACTTGGAATTTGAAAAGTCCAATTCCTAATATGGTTCAGATATATAGAGTGTTACTATAAATTATTGTGAAAGATTTGTTTAACAAATACACTCAAACATATATATTCCAAGGGAGTGGAATCTCCTTCAAAGTGGTCACTTTGGGAGGCTAGCCACTTATTCTAATGCTGTTACTATCACTCAAATTACTTTTGAAAGTACTCTTTTAGAATCGCCTTGAGGCCTGTAGCATATTCTTTTGACTATCCTCAAAGTAGCACAGCTACATATTTTGAAAGTAGATGTGATATGGCTAGATATATCTAGAAATTTGCTTGGAGACAAATTTGATGTGTAATCATTATGGAATGATACCATAATGATACCTATTTTCTTGGTGATACATATGAAGGCAATTCCAAAATATTTTGACTGTTGATAGCATAATTTACATCAGTGTGTAACCTTCCAAGGTGACTTCTTTAAAATATAGCATTCATATGAATTTAATCATGCTTTATTCAGTATTCATTGACTGCCGACTGTATGACCACTCCAGTTAACTGAAGACGTTTAGCCTACAGGTATAGTTTCCTACTGCCCATGCTGCCCAGCCTCTCACCTAATGAGAACCAGGCCAGAACTCCTTCCCAGCTGGTGGGGATTTAGAATTAATCTGCTTTCCCTAAATCCAGTATCCAGTATACACCCTAAATCAGAGGCTTCCTTTATAACCTGTACTGTGGCTGCCCAAGTAATATGACAGAGCCTCTGATACAGTGCCTTGTTCATTTTCTCTTTTCCAGATGTGATATTGAGCCCTGCCCTATTCTGATCCTCCATCTAGTTGCCAATTCTCCTATAATCCTCAAGAAACATACCGTGCCTCCTATACCCCTACTTATGGATAAGGGCCTGACTTCACCCTAAATAGGCCTCCCTCTAATTACAACTATTCAACATTTCTCCTCTTTCTGTTCATGTCCCAAAACTCCCACTGCCATGTCCCTGGCAAGCAGATGAGAATGCATGAATAGCGGTTTTGATTGCTACCTCAAACACTACATTTGGGAATTCCAATTAGCCTTCTTCTGGGTTAGCTCTACTGATTCCAGTTTAATCCCTTCTCACCAGCCCACCACTGAGCTCTCACAAGCCTCATAATTAAGTATCTGTGGGTGCTGTCACTATGTGCCAGATGATAATGATATTTTTACATAGCTTTTCAAATTTAGCAAACTCTTTCACCTACATTGCATAATATGGCTATCACAACAATTTTATAAGGTAGGTAATGCTGAAATAATAAAACAATTTCTGCTATATTTGTTTTTTTTTAAAGTCTCACTGTTTGTGCAATCTCAACTCAAAATACTAATTATATAATTGTATCTGATATTTGGATCTATTTTCCTCTTTCATTGTCAAAGGTAGAAAATGTTTCAAACCTTTTGCTTTTAATGTTAAGTAAATATTTAATGTATTTAATGAACATACAATCAACTAGAACTTTAAAAATATAAACAGGAACCTCTTTTTTTTTAATTTAATATGTGTCAATTATTCATCTCCATAGCAGACTACAAGACCATACTGTGAAAGGAGATTGTTTTATCACCTCTTATTTCACCTTCCCAATTTAATGAATTTCTAATGTAATGACTTTATTATTAATTTATCTGACATCATTATGAGAAGTGATATTTGTGCCCAACAAAATTAAATTTTTAAAGTACCAATAATAGCTAACATATGTTAAATGCTTAATATGTGCCAGGCGCTGTTGCAAGATCTTTTACCTGTATTAAGCTACTTAATCCTTGTAACGACTCTATAAGGTAGCACTATTATTATTCCCATTTAATATATGAGGAAAATGAGGTATAGAAAGTTTAAATGATGTGCCAAAAGTCACAGAACTAGGAAGTAAATGATAGATACAAATGTAGGCAGTATGACTTCAGATCCCTTACTCTTAACCACTATGATATATTCTGCCTCTACGCTAGATGTACAGGACAATCTAACACTTGTTTCATATCTTTGACATCTCCTATAAGCATTAAAATCAGTTTTCTATTTAAAAAAGAAACTCAGAATAATAGTACAATGTAATAAAACAAGGTTTGTAAAACCTCATCTGCATGCAGATTGATTGTGTCAGGCGATTATACCAGTACAGATTTGAGAATCCCTTTGTATTCCTACTATAGGCACAATGGAAAATTTTTTTGTGAGTTATTTAGTAAAAGCACTAATGTTTCCTGTGAATTAAATTTATAAAATAATGTTTTAAAATATCAGCAGAAGTATAGAAAAGATTCCTATTATATTTACGCCTAAATCAATAACAATAGGCCTAATTCAGTAGTGTGTTTATTCAGGTTATTCATTCAAATCTGATGCTTCCAAGATTTTTAAAGATCCTGAATTCCTACTTCAAATATAACTGTAGAAATTATTTAAAAGACTGATGTTTAGTTGACAGGATTATAGGTAGTTGTAATTTTCTTATTTATACTTTCAATGTATTATTTCCTAAAATTTTCGTAATAGACATATTGTATTATTAAATCAGAAAAATATTTTATTTTGTGTGAATTTTCATTAAAGTCAATGAACTAACTCTTTAGAGTTCTCAAATGGCAATATACTGCTAACTGCCATTTTCAGTTGATTAAAAATTTAAATAAAGCAGAGGTACAGGCCTGCCTGAGGAAAAAGTGTAAAGTAAGTTCCTCGAGTCATACCTCCTAATAAACATTCTTTTCAGTTCACTAAATGGAATATACAGCCTAGACAGCATACATGAGACAGAAAAAAAGGTAGTCTACACAAGTATGTTTCCAAATAATGATATATATTCTATATGGCACTGAAATCCACTTTCTCTGGAGGTAGGGCTAAGAAACTGTGGTTTTAACTGACTTCCCAAGTGATTCTTAAGCACACTACAACCTGACAACCCCTATAGTAGGTGCTCAATAAATGCTTAGAAGTTTTAGTAAGGTAAGCTGAATACTTGAGTTCATTTGCTGCCCCAGGCCTGTGAGTCAGAAAAATACGTATATTTGAAGGAGTTTACAAGGATTTTCAAGGAAGAATAAGCAATAATGAATGGAGTGACCAAGAAAAAGAAGGGAGATGTGACAATAATAATAATAAACTTCATGTCTTAAAATAAAAAACTAAAATACTTCTTTCTCATTATCTTCTTCCTCAGAACATGGAATTGGAAAATATGGAATCTGAAAATACAGAAACTGAAAATATGGAAACTGAAAATATGGAATCTGAAAATATGGAAACTGAAACTATTTCTTCGATTTCAACTCTGCAAACCCTCTCTGAGCTACTTTATCCCAAGGAAGAGGATGATTTTGAGTCCGGACAGGTGGTTATATACTTACAGATGAATTAGTTCTGTTCACAATACACGGTAAAACTGTATTTGAACAACTTGTTCCAATCTTTCTGTGAGAGCAGGGCTATGGCATCTAATACATTCACAGGAGATTGCAGGGCTGATGAGAGTATAATCTTTAGTACATTTATAGCAAACATATTACATTTTTTTTCTAAACTACCTGAACGCTAAATAAGAAAATTGTTCTGTAACTATGGTAGCAATAGCCACATTTCAAAATATTTGTCATTTACATTTATGGCCAATGAATGCTTGACAACCATTGCAAAGAGTGATAGCCAGGATTTTTAAGCCTAAGCAATATTTCTATAAAACAATTTCAATAGACAGTATTAATTATGCCACCTAAATCCAGTCCCTTATTTTTTTTATTTGTCTGCACATGAAAGCAGAACAGAAAATATTTTGAGCCAAATAAGAGGACAAACTAGCTGCAGCCTACTCAAATTGGCTTCCAGGTACATGCACATATAGAGCTATGGAATGTAATTATGTAGTTGAATAGCATTTGAGGTCAGGACAGGTAATTTCAGGGAGGCTTGCAGCAACAAGATGGGCTTCATTTTGGGTAGCAGAGTTCCATGAGCTGAACTTTGGCCAATCCACAATCACTACCAGCATTCCCAATATAATCAAAATACTTCTGTGTAACTGCCTGATCTTTGTTCTCCTACTTCTTAGATATCAGTGGACCTTGGCTATCAGACTGCCTATATAAAGACAAATAAAATTTTATAGCCGAATATATCTATTTCTTAAACTTATTTTAATGAAGTTTTTTTTCATTATTATGACCCGTTTACCATGAGCAAATCATCTCCCATGAAAATACATATCAATTTGCTCCTCTCTGAATTCTTTTTTGCCATAGTATGAAAAAACAAGTATAATATGAACAGGCGGCAAATTTAGTAGCTCAGATTCAAACTGGGTTTAGCTTCCACTCTCCAGGAAAAACTTAGGTGGAACAGGGCAGAATCAAATAAGTCATGCAATGGAAAAATTTGTAGAAGAGGGGAACTGAGTCAGCTTGGAGCCAGGATCAGGAACCAAGAAGTTTGAGTCAGGGAAAAGTCTTAGTAGAGGTCAATCAAATAAAGAAAAATCAAGGTGTTAATAACAGCATTGGGGGTATACAACAAATGACTCAGGAGAAAAAGTTGGGCAGAATGCATCAATGCGGTTGGGAAGGCATGCTCATTTTTGCTACCTTAGCTGAAATAGAATGATACATCCTGGGAAAGTTGAGGTTATGTCAGATAGAAAAAGCATAACAAGTATTTGAGAAACAGTGATCTTGAACAAAGGGAAGTGAAACTTTTAATTGGAACAGATTCAGAGAGGATTTACCCTGGTTACACAGCCCATTCCTTTTGGTGTTTAAGTATGGATATGTTTATTTGCATCTAGAGGTGTTTCCAGGGTAAAGATGAGTGCTTATGAGAATAGAGAGACTAGGACAATTTTACCAAATTGTACAGTTTATAGAGTAAAATTACTAGAATAATTTATGATTCTGTATATATGGATTATAAGCAATTTTGAGATAATTGGTCATTCAGATACTGCAGTACAGATATCATTAGAGGATATAGAATTGGATTATCAGAATAGTGGGAGAATAATTAATGTTCCTAACAAACTATTAAATTTTCCAGGAGAGAAACGGCTTTTCATTTTTTAACATGTATTAATCCTGGGAACTGTGGAATGGTTACAAGAGTGATATGTTTTTGAAAATACACTCTCTGAAAACAGCATAACTGTTACATACACATTGGGTCATTTATACTTTCGCCACCATGAATTGCGATGAATCTGGGAGATTGGAAATAGAGTACATCTGTTGTATTTTTTAACTCATAAGGAGATATTAAAACCTGTGGGGAAATACAGTTCACCACTCTTCACAGACATTGTAATAAGGATATTCTAACTCTTACATATTGCAAAGTGGCATGAATTGCACTGATAAATTGCTCAGATAATTGGATATGGATTCATGGTAAAATCTGAAATGATATTCTTATAAAAAACAGTTGCCAGATGGATTTTAATGTTTTTATTATCTTGATCCATCTTTTCACTTGAAACTTTTATTTTTAATCATTTATTTTCATTAAGTTAATAAACTGAAACTCCTCCTATATTATGACATACTGACCCAATCATCACTGTACATGAATTGCATATCCATTTTTATCAGGAATGTTCAAGTTTTCATTTCTATGGATTTTAATTTTTCATGGAAGGAGTCATTTGACAAAACAAGAGGCCCTCATGTTCCAAGAAATGCTTTATCCTGGTTGACTATTAGTATCCTGGTGAATAATAATTTAAGAAAAGCACTACAAGTTTACATGGCCTTAGTGCTTAAAAAGAAAAAAAAATATAGAATATTGTCTTGAGATTTTCCCATAAAAATGCCTGTGACACCTTAACTGTGTACATAGACCTTTTGAAGCAACTTTTGGAAAGGAATAGTTACTGTCTCAGAAACTGTTGAGATGTTATAAATTAATTTCTAATCTATAGCTTTTGGAATAGTTTAGCATAAAAACACCCAGGTGAGCTTTCTCACCACCTTTCAAGGACAGTCACTATTCTTCTTGCCCAAACAGGACATTATAAGTTTCATACATGTCTTAAGTCTTGGGAGATTAGAGCTAGAGGTGCAATTTACCAGGATCCAAGGGGATAAGAATTTTTTAACTGCCGGCAATGGAGTAAATTAAAGTGCAGAGTCTGACATTAGCAAGAACAATTAGTAAATATTTTCTTTAAATGTCAAAGAACCCTGAGAGGGACCAATGAAGTGGTTGCCACTATACTGATGGTATAATATGTGTTATATTTAGTTGAAAAAGGAAAGCTGTTCTTGTACTGGTGCATCAGGGACTGTCGTATGGGGGTATGTATGCTTGCACAGAATATGACAAAATAAACTTGAACATGTATGAAGATTGTAGTGGTTCAGCATATATTTGACACTGTTAATTTAGGGCTGCTGTTTAAATCCACTAGTTCAGTGTCATGAAGTGGTGTGATGAGGCAGTGTTTCATACTCACAGTGGAAAGAAATAAAAGCTGTAATCCAGACTTTTCAATAAGCCATTTGATATCCAAATACTTAGACTCTACTTAGTGGTTTGTTTTTATTTCTATAAAACTTTTCCATACTTCTATCCCCCATCTAACAGTGACCAGACACTGCCAAAACCTAAAGGTGTCAATGCTCTTATATTAACACTTCGTTCTAACCTTCAAAGAGATGAATGTGGCACATTCTCCTGTCTCCAGGGATCCATAATTCACTGAGCTGGGACTAGGGATTTATTCTGATCAAAGATCAATTCTACCTTAGGGTCTATTGAACCAAATACCTTTTGAAAAGACAAGAAAAACACTTCAAAATAATACTGGACATCTGTCTCTTTGTTGTATAACAACAATGGGTAATTAAACTGGAAAGCTCTATAAAATTTTAGATGGAAAGCTTATTGAATTTAAAGTATTACTAGTCATATAAGTTAGACAAGTAGTAGTTATAGAATGTGAGACTGTTTATCTTCTCTACCAGTCAAATTGTTCATCTGCAATAGGAGCCATGGGTCCTGGGAATATTGGACCACCAAAAACAGAAGAGTTAACAGGTAAGTTATTTAATAAAATGTATAGGTCAAAATAATAAGTACCATCTTCAGGAGTGAAATTATAGGGAAAGTAATACTAACACTGGCACTTATTAAAGATGAACTCAAATAACAGTGGAAATGATGAACAGCCATTTACATATAAAGATGCTATTTTTACTCTATTCTTGGAAATACGATATTTTTCTACCAATGGAAATTAATTTGCTTTGAATTATTCACATGTTTTGGCATATTTCCTGAGATGGAAAACCACAACGTCATGTGTGGTCAAATAACTTATTATTTAGGGTCTAGTTACCAAGATGCTTAGCTTCTTCACTTTCTACTCTGCTATATTCTGGCAATTTCAAAGAATTCACTCATTAATTTATTCAATAAATATTTATCGAGAGCCTGTTATGTACCAGGCAATATGATAATCTCTGACGTTACAATGGAGATCAAAATAGAAAGGTCTCTGTCTCCATTGAGTTAATAGTCTTTTGGAGAACACAATAAAACAAAAAGCTACACAATTTTATCTTATATTGAAATACTTATAAATTAAAGCCCATGGCTTGATTTATATTGTCACAGGTCCAATAAACTAGAATAAATATTTTTTGGATGTTTTCCCAGCATGTTGGCCTAAACGTTTTCACGTAGCCAAACATTTTACGTCTTTAAAAACAGAAGGCTTTAATTCTGTTGGTCATGATCACAGTCACTAGAAGGTGGGCAAGGAAAGGAATTGAAGTCCTCTCATCATTTTAGCTAATTGTAAAAGATTTTATCTGGAGAAATATTTAAAATAATGGATAAAAATGAGGTCTGAGGTGATGATTTCAAAATTTCAGTTATTATTGCTCTGCATACTCAAGAGTCTATTTGCCTCATTCAAGTGATATTCGCTCCGTGGAAGACTAGCTCAAATTTGGATATATTTCTGTGTCGCCTGTATTTCTGATAATGTAGGTCTAATAATCTCTCAATTCTGAGAACAATGAGTCATATGTAAAGTGTTATAGATAAATTTGCAATTAAGCTTTACAAAGCTCATGCTAGATGGAAGCAGATAATTTCAAAAGGATTAGCAGAATTGAAAACTTGACCATTAGGTTCATTTTAGGGGGTGCTTAAAAAGACTCAAAATAAAGTTCTGCACCTAATGTGGGTCTCCATTTGCTGCTTCGATAGAACAAATAAAAGCTTGGTTTTGCATGCTTATTTACTTTTAAACATTTAAAGATAACATGTAGAAACCCAAGCACATGCTCAATTCTACATAAAGGACAAATGACAGAGATTTTCTGTCAACATGATGGAAATACTAGATTAAAAAATTATCATCTTAAATTTTCTTAACTTATGGTATATTTTTAAGAATTATGTCATGCTTGCATGGAAAATGTATCAAAGGGCTTTTATATAGTAAAACGCAATGCAAGATATATTTGATTTGTTCTTTATATATGATCTTATTTGTGTTTCTGGAAAATGTGCAATATTTTTACATATATATGTTATATATAAT